CTCTAGTTCCTCCAGAGCAACTCTATTGTTAACTTTTGCCAGCAGTTGACCACAGAGTCACACTGGAGGACCTAGACATTCTTAGAGAGAACACTTCTCTAGGCATTTTTAGGTCCTCCAGTGTGATTGTATGGTCAGTTTCCATAGAATAAAGTTGGCCATAAAGTTGCACTGGAGGATTTAGAGATTACTAGAGAGGTGTTCTCTGAACTAAAAACCCCAAATTTATTTTTATTTGTAGTTTCCCCACTTTCACTTCAGTCCTGTGCCCTCAATCCCAGCAAATGTGAAGGGCCCACTGTATTTCAAAGGAAGGAACTAACAAGATCACCTCTGAGTACTCCTTGGCTAAGAAAACTCTGTAAAATTCATGTGGCTGCCATAGGTTGACAGGTGACTTAAAGGCGCGCATACACACACACACACACTGGTTAATTTACATTAAATACATTAAATAAATTAAATAAAAGTAATAAATAAACACACTGGTTAATTTACATTAAATAAATTATTTAATGTAAATTCCGATAGGAGGTATTCTGAGCCTGGAGGGAGACATTAACTTACTTGTATTCACAAACCACTCTACACTGGTGTGGGTAACTTGCTGCTGTATTCATTTTGGCTAGATACCATTATAAGCCTGGGAAAGAAATGTGTGTTTGTGTGTGTGCCTTCAAGTCATTTCCGATTTATGGCGACCCTAAGGCAAACCTATCTTGGGGTTTTCTTGGCATGTTTCTTCAGAGGGGGTTTGCCATGGCCATCCCCTGAGGCTGAGAGAGTGTGACTTGCCCAAGGTTGCATGTGTTTCATGGTCAAACATGGAATTGAACCCTGGTCTCCAGAGTCATAGTCCAAGCATTGGACTAGGACTCCAGAAACTAGGGTTCAAATCCTGTTTAGATTAGGTGATGTTGGTCAAGTCACGTTCTCTTAGCCTCAGAGGAAGACCATGGTGAATTTCCTCTGAATTATAAATCTTACCAGGAAATCCCATGATAAGTTCGCCCTTAGAGTGAACATAAGTTAGAAACAACCTGAAAACACACACACAAACACACAAAAACCAAGGTTGAACATTATACAACTGGGCCCTCCACATTTGCTGGTGTTAGGGGTGCAGGACCCTCATGAAAGTGGGAAAATGGCAAATAATTTTTTTTAATTTTTTTTCATGAGAGAATACCTCTTTTTTTACTTTAAAATTTTTTATTAGATTTATTAAACAATAAATACACAACAAATAATACATATAAATACAAGACATAGAATTCTATAACAATACATAACACTAACGCACAAATCACAAGACAATCTAAACATTTATTATCTATTTTCCCTCTTACCCCCCACCCTTTGTTTCTTTTCCTAAAATAAACCTATATAAAACATAAGACATTTATCTAACACCAAAACTCACACTTAACTAACAATAAGCTTCCTATCTTGTAAGCGAGATCATTTTCATAAAGTTTCTTTGTGGCCCCTCTTTTCCTTATTTAATCAACAATAGTCAAAAAAGTATGCTACTACACCACTTAATCCATTACTAAAAAATCCCAATTATCGTCATTTTCAGCTACATCCATCAGGTTCAAAATTCTCACTCTTTACAATGTTTTTATTCGGATTTTGAACATAAAATTTTCTCCATATTTCTAGAATAATGAAGAAAGGATTTCTAGGATAATGAAGAAAGATGAAGATTACTAATTTTGTTAGGAAAAGATTAAAGAATGCCTCTTTAGCACAACTTTTGTGGTCAACATGCAGCAGAAACTGACTGTAAAATCATGCTGGAGGACCTAAAATGCCTAGAAAAGTGTTTTCTCAATGAATCTTTAGGTTTTCCAGTGTGTCTCTATGGTCAACTTCCAGCAGAGTCACTCTGGAGGACCTAGAAATTCCTAGAGAGAACATATTAATCAAATCTGCAAATATTTAAAGCCACAAAAGTCAAAGCCACAAATGTGGATGGCCTGTAATTCCTTGTCTATTTAAAGGCATTACACCAGGTGTGGGTAATTGTGTGATGTAGTGCTTTGAGCGCTGGACTATGACTCAGGGTTCGAATCCTGGCTTGGCCATGTAAACCTTTGGGCAATTACAGTGGGTCCTTTTTATCCGCTGGGGTTTGGTTCCAGGATCCGTCATGGATAACAAAATCAGTGGATGTTGAAGTCCTATTAAATATAACGGCACAGCAAAATGGTGTACCTTATATTAAATGGCAAAATCAAGGTTTGCTTTTTGGAATTTATACTTTTTGGGAATATTTTTCAAGCTGTGGATGTTTGAATCTGTGGATAAAAAAAAAATATCCGTGGATAAGGAGGGCGGACTGTACTCGCTCGGCCTCAGAAGATGGCAATGGCAAACCCCCTCTGAAGAAACTTTCCAAGAAAACCCTATGATAGGGTTCCCCTTAGGGTCCTCC